CCCCCCCCCCGTTCCTCCCCTCCCTGCCCCCACCCTCCCGCGCCTGCGCGCTGGCGCACAAAGTTTTGCTGACCCGGGCAGCAGGCTCGGCTGCTGCGCCCGCTCGCTGGGCCCTTGCCTTCCCGACCCGATCCCGACCCGGTCCCCGCCTCTCCGGTTCCGCGCGACCCTTCCCGCGTTTGGGCGCGGGCGGAAACCGGTCGCGGCAGCGAGACTGCTGCTCGGGCTGCAGTTCTCGCGCTCCCAGGACACAGCGGGGCCGGGGCGCGAGGGGTCCAAGCGGCTGTGCCCGCGATCCAGAGCCTCGGGGCCGCGCGCTTCGAAGCCGAGCGGAGCCGAGCCGAGCCGCCGCTCCCGGAGCCCCGAAGCTTTCGAAGGCGGTGGCCCCGGTGTGCAGCAGCCCGGAATCCGGGCTTGCCCGGGAGGACGGGACCCAGGCAGCGCGCGGTTCCGGGTGTGGGAGGGCGGGCCGGGTCGCCGGAGCAGCCCAGACCTCGGCGGGCCTGCGCCCGAGCCGCCTGGGGAGCGAGACCCGTGGGCGCGCGGGGAAGAAGTCGGAGTGGCTTTCCCGGGGCCGGAACCGGGGACTGGACTCCAGAGCACAGGCACACTCTCCACCCGCTCTTCTGTTTAAGGCTGGACGTGGCTTTGGAGCGCAGCACAGGCACCCACGGAAAGCTGCGAGGTGGTCAGTTCCCAGGCCTCTGGGTCGAGGAACTGGCTTGGCTGCGAGTGGAGCCCTAGAGAGTGGGCTCTGGCTGGAGGCCTGGGGCACTGCCTGAGGGCGCCTCGCCTCCCACCGCCGCTGACCTCCAGCTCACCCCAGCTCCATCCCCCTGCCTCTTTTCTGGAGCACCCGGCCCAGGTGCCGCACAGGAGGAGGCGCCAGTTCCCGGGGGTTCCGGGTGCGCACCCCACACTCCTCTCCTGTGCTTCAACTCAGGACTCCGTGGGTCTCAGACGTCCTGGGACGTGGCTCGGGGAAGAGCTTCCCTCCAGCCTGTGCTTGCAAAGTCAGTCTGATTTTCTTGAAATGAGCTGGTAGTTCGGTCCCTGAGCTGGGGTTATGTTCATGGATTCTCCCTCCCGAGGCATTCCTAGAAGAGCTTCTCCCTGTGACCCCAACACTTGATAACAGAACGTGCCTCCATCTCCTCGAGATTTTTGCTCGTCGGAAGAGGAGACGCAATGTTTGCCCAAGAGGTGCGCTTCCGTCCCACAGGATGGGAGCGGAGTCCCGGGAGTTTGCACCTGGGACCGGAGCATCCCCCAGGGTAGGGGACACCCTGGCTAGGGGAGGCCGTGGGAGCAGAGAGGGCCTGCGATGGCCTCTTCCAAGAGGCTTTTTTCTAGGGCAGCAGCTTTAACAGCAGGGAGAGGCAGGCGTGGAGGGAAGAAAGCCCAGGGCCAGGTGCTCCTGGATTTCCTTAGCTCCACCTGGGTGAGGGATTTTGTGTGTCTTAGCTTCACACTCCCCAAGCAGCCAGCGCTTGGGACCTCCATACCAGCCAGGAACGTTTCCCAGAAAAGAGAGATGGGAGGGGCCTCTCAGGCTGTTGGGACACCTGGAAGAGGGGCTGGACAGCGGGCAGGCTCCTGCTCTGAATTCCTCAAGGCTCCATTGTGTTTCTTCCATCTTTCTGCTTGTCTTTCTCTTTCAAAACAGGACTCTGGTCAACACGCCTCAAGATTTCCAAAAAGCTGCAAGTAGGGTTCAGGAAGAAACCTTGGTTGAGAGTGCCCCTGTTCCTGAGCAAAGGAAAATGCAGCGGGGCTGTGGAACATTCCTTTGCCAGGCCAACTGGAAAGCAGATCTGGGCCAACCCTAGAACTCAGCAGATGTGGAGCAGGGTGGGAAGGCCGCGCCCACAGGGTCCTGAGGGCCCAAGGGCACAGACTGCCTCCAGCAAGTCCCAGCCACCTGCCTGGAGCAGTCTAAAGAGCAGCACCGTACTGTGCGCCTGGTGGGCGGGCGGCGGCGTAGCTGGGTCCCACACACGTCCCAGGGCTCCTGCACACCCAAGGCGCCTCCTCCTACAGAGTGCACTGCCCCCAAATCCCAGGAAAACAAAATCCGAGACCTGTGAGGAGCTGAGCAGTCCCCTCTGCCACGCCCCATCCCTGAGCTCCTGACCTCCAAACCTTGGCCTCCTCCTCCACTGAAGGCCAACCCAAGGCCTGTTTTCCTCTGGGCCCAGGCAGCTAAGGAAACCTCTCCACTCTGTGTTTCTCCCCCTACTTCAGAGACACCCTCACTGTGTGACTGTGGCTTGGATGAATGGCTGAGCACAGGACCCAGGACGCCTAAGGCTGAGGAGGACACTTTTTAGCAAAGTCGAATTCGTTTAAGATCCCGGAGGATGTTGCATTTTACTTTTGGTAAACGCTGTCGGTAGCCCGGACGCAGCTCTCCTGTCCTCCTGAGAGCCCAGCGAAGGTGGCGAAACGCCGATCTCCCACACGCCTTATTCCTGGGGGTCCAGAGCACGCAGCCTGGTGGCTGCAGCCTCTGCCCTTTCAGAGCCTGCAGCTCTCTGGCCCACAGCCGCCCATCCCGACTCGCTGGGGCGGCGCCCTTGCGAAGGATCCGTCCAGCAAAACGCCAAGGCTCCAGGTCGGCTCTCGCTGTGCCCCCGCCCCGCCAGCCTTGCTGGGGTCCCTGAGGGAGGCGATGCTCAAGCCAGCCCCAGCTTCCTGGCCGAGGACTGCGGCGAGACCTTCAGGCGGGCGAGCTGGGAGCGGAGGGCCCCTGCTGCCTGTCTTCCTGCCCAGCTCCAGCCCCTCTCTAGACCCCGACTCGAGGGGAAAGACAAACCCCAGGCTGCCTTCCTAGGGCAAACTGAGCAGCTTCCAGAAAATTAACTAGGTGGTGGCCTGTGATGGTTTGAGTTGTTTTGGATTTAAAACAATAATGCTGAATCCCACCCCTCTGCACTCCCCAGACGCAGCAAATGACCTCATGCTTCCAAGTGGAGTTTACTCAACACTTGCGAGCTTTTCTTCCGAAGCAGGCTTTTCTGGAGTCCCTTTGCGGACACCTAGCGGCCTGCTCTTGAAGCCCTTCCTCATCAGTTTACACAGCTTCACATCTCCATCTCCGGGAGGTGCGGCGGCTCTGCCCACTGCGACGAGGGCCCGCAGGGCTCGCGGTCCCCTGGAGCCATCGCGGTGACCAGGTCAGCGTCCGGCCGAGCCGGCTGAGCTCCAGGCGGTGACCCGACTTCCACGAGCGTTAGTGACCACGCAGTCCCGGTGCGAGGGGAGCAGACGCCACGCGAGTTAGTGTCAGACTGAAAAGAAGGCGCAGCGCGGCGCTGTCCTCGGGCAGCTCCCGCCCCCAGCGCCCGCGAGCGCGGAGCGCCCGGATCCTCCGCCCGCCCCCGCGAGGCCTGGCCCCCCAGACGGCAGCACGTGGGAGCGGGCGCGGGCGTGGGCCCGGGCTGAGTTCCGCTGCCACGGCCACGCGCACATGGGCGACGCCGACCGGCGTGGGAGGCCCCACGGGGCTGGGGCTTCCGGGC